TGTCTTGAAAGGCTGTGATTTCATTTTGCTTTGTGGCTGTCCAACTTGCTGCTGAGGCATAGTTTTATGGATTTGCTGAGTCTATTTTAGATCGTTGCAAGGGGCTGGGTTCCCCGATGAAATGGCACTACAGCACAGATATTTTGAGCCTTAAATTATGGACATGAGTAGTTATAGTTGAGTGCACATGCTAAATTTTGCTTTTCAAAGACATGAGAAAAACAAAGGAGTGGGAACCCCACAGTCCTAACGAGCTGGGAATACCCAGTAATGCGCTTTACCAAGTGGCGTGGGCACGGCCTGAGCCTTGTTGCTGTCCTTCACACCTGCACTTGGTGGTTTTCAGCAGCGGGGATGAGATGCCTGCAGACGGAGGTGTGGTGGTTGGTTCCAGTGCCTATTTCAGTGTTCCTGTTTCTGTTTCTGGGTTGGCTGTGGGGTCTGCCTTCTAAGGCCTGTCAGAGAAGAGAGGAGACTGAAGCCCTGGCTGGGTGTGCCAACACTTTATAAAGTCCTGCTGCGGGGTTTTTGGTGGGACCTGGAAACTCACATTTTGGAGGAATGGGGTGGATTTCCCCAGTAGGGCTGTGGAATCTGTGTGGACACCAAAGCCAAAGTGGGAACTGGCCTAGATCACAGGCCTACGCACGTTGCGGTCTGGAGGAATGTTTGGATTAAAGAGACCCTTCCTGAGGCTAAGGAGCATTGTTTTTGCAGACAGTTCATGATATGTTAAGGGCATAGGTGATTTAGCCCTAAGTGCTCTAGTAGGACCAAGCCCTTCTGGTGAGTGCCTTCAGTAGGCCTGTCTCAGGGGAGAAGAAAAAGCAAAAAGAAAAAATGCACAGGACTGGAACCCTCCTCACCCAGTGAAGGACCAAGGGGTCAGAAGGAAAGGCCAAGAGATGCGCACAGCAGAATCCTCACATGTTGGCCTCAACTGCCGGCCAGGCCTTACTCGGTCTACCCCAGTCTTCCCTAACTCTGACCTCCCCAACATCCACTCAACCCCCATTCTGCCACAGATCTGTTTGGCAGTTCCTCAAACATGCCAGGCATGGTCCTACCCCAGGGCCTTTGCACCTGCTCTCTTCTCTGCTGGAAAGCTCTTCCTGCAGATATGCATGTGGCTGTCACCTCAACTCACTGGGTTCACTGAGCACCTTCCTGGAAGCCTTTCTCTGACCTCCAGTTTGAAGCAGTAGCCAGCCCACCCCCTGCGGACACCCCCTGCCCCTGCTTTATTTTTATCCCCTCCTCTTGCCACCTTCTAATAGGCTTTA